CCCTTCTTTCCCCTTTTCTCCCTCCCTCCCCCCTCCCCCTCCCTCCTCTCCCCTCCTTTCCATCTTCTTGGATGCTAGTGAAACGGAGTTAGTTGCCAGATAGTTATTGCCTTGATTTTTTTTTTGCCTTTTTTTTTCCACTATACATGGGCACCATTTATTTAAAAGTTGCATGGTGTTCTTGTGGATCGAAGTTTATTCGTACTGATGAAAACGAGAGGCACAAAAACTTCCAATTTTAGCAGAAAAAACCGGTTAATCCGAACCACTCAAAGAAGAAAGCAGTGATCGAAGAAGAATCGAAAAAAGAAAACAGCGAGCCAGTTGGCGAAATAGCTGTCAATGACATCCCAGACGAAGTAAAACCATTTGTAAGTCATCTCTGCATTGTTTTTCTATAAAACAAGCGTCTTTACCGGTTCCGAATCGTAATAAATTGCCAACCGAACCTCGAATTGTGACCATTAAATCGTGCTTCATCAAAATTGACCCATAATTAATCAACAAAATTTGAAATCGCTTTCGTATGTTTTGATAAGCATAAGCTGCATTTCATGCAAATTTTGCTCTGTTGAGAATTAATTTTGGTAAAAATTTACAGATTGATCGACGCGTACTTCCACGGAGAAGTGCCCGCAACGCTGCGATAAGTAATCTCAAGGAACTTACTTCATCACCACTAAAACTTCAAAGCGGAAGGCGAAAGCGCGATGAGAAACAGGCGAACAAAAAGAAGAGTTCGGATGCCACGGATCCGGATGCTAAAACTGAAAGAAAAGTCAAGGTAGTGTTTTTGAAGAATTTTAGGTGAATTTCTGAAAAAACATTGGGTTTTTTTTTCCCTATAATAGCTGCAATTATTACTTAGTGTCAAATTTCGGGTAATAAAATCAAATAAGGGCCCGAATCCTGTGCTGCGGTAATGACGAATAACCCCGAAGAGGTTATGAGCTGCGCCAATAAAGTGAAAAAGTGCTGTGATCAAGCGACAGCGCATTAAATTCTGACGCAAAACATAGCTTCTTGGTCTGCTCAGTGTTCTTTGTTTGTTTACTTTTTTATGCTTTTTTTGCAGCTATGCAATGCGGAAAACGCATATTGATGAGAGGTTATCTGTGTGTGTGTCTGTGTGTTTGCTGGGCCTCTGTACCGATTCCTCATCTCGAGACCGACAAGAGCTACAGAGCTGAAACTTTGGGGACTTAATCAACATGTACGTACGGGCCTCTATCCCTAAAATGGGCGGTCTCACCCCCGTGGTACCCACGTAAGAACTCGCCAAAGTTTTTTACAGGTAAGTTACTAACTCGCGAACCAGAAGAGCTAGAAAGCTGAAATTTTAAGGGGATATTCCCCGTCCAAATAAGTCTCGACAAGCTCAAACCCAGACATCGGGTATGCGCGGTACCCGCGTGCGGGCCCGTGAAAGTTTTTTTCCAGTAAGTTGCTAACTCGGGAGCCAGAAAAGCTAGGAAGCTGAAATTTTAAGGTGGTGTTTTCTGCCAGTTCTGGCGGCCAGTCTTAGTTTGTTTAGCTAGAAGCATTTGCCGAAAAAAACCGATGCCGGTAGCGACAGAAACTGCGGGGAACTATGCAAAAAACGCACCTTCGCACGGGCAACCCGTGCGCTGGCCAATTATTTTAACTTCAAATTTACTGCTGGAAATGTTGCCCGTGCGCTGGCCAATTATTTTAACTTCAAATTTACTGCTGGAAATGCGCTTTTAGGGAAGTGAAAGCGAAATTGAGGATGAGGGTGGTGGTGGCGGTGGTGGTAGCGATGATGTCGATAATAACGACAGTGATGACGCTGATGATACAGATGATTTTGTGCTGGCCGAAGAATCATCAACATCCTCGGATGATGAATTTATGCCGCTTTCTGAGCTGAGAAAAAAAACCAAAAGGTATTTTTACTAGCTTTATTAGCTGTGTCATTCACGCTTTGCGATTGAAACAATCCTGAGCGCGAACACAGTTTACACAGGATACTACAGAAATTCAGCGCGTCATAACCAGAAAATGCACACATTTTAAAAATCAACGCATTGAAAACAAAATTATTGCAAAGTAAACCATATTTTTGTTTAACTTTGCGCTCCTGAACAGTGGCCCTGAGTAATAAGTTCATTTTTTTCCCCAAAAAACGGTCTCATCGCATTTATTCTGACTCGATAACATAATCGAATTGGAGACATCGAGTAAAATCTAGCCTCATTTTTTTGCTATTTTTTGTCATCAGTTCACTTAGGATTTGAAAAATTAGAAAACTAAAATTAGAAAAAAAAATTTTGTTTCTGTACAATTCCAGCAATTCCCGGGTGGTGTCCCATCCGTCCTCCCAGACTCATGCCACATGTTACCGATGTCTTAAGTGTTAATGGTTTTAAGTTGATAGAATGTTGTGGACAACTGAATTCTTAAAGTGGAAGATTTTGCCATGAATTTTTCCTTGATGAGATACTTTTTACGGACTTGTTATACTTGTTAACGCAATTATCCGTCCTAGCTTTTACCTGGGGACAATTTCCAGAGCGAGTCGCAGACGAAGAAAGAAGGAACGTATCAGAAAAGAGCTTTCCGAATTGGAGGAATCGGACGATGCTGGCAGTGATGTGGAGCAGAGGAAAACGAAAAAAGAACGCAAGAAAGCAACGGAGGAAACGCTGTGTATGAAATGCGGCAAAAGCACAAATCCCGAAGTGGTACTTTTTTTTGATTTTTTTGGCCATTTGCCTTCTCATCGTCCCATAGCCTTTACATCGATTACCATAACTATGCATTATGTGGTGGTTGTGATTCTTCGGTAGCTTTACATGTATTTCACTAAGGAGAAAGGACTAAATACCCCTACTTTGCCTGTCTAATTGTCCAGCTTGCTTTTACCTATAAATTGATTTTTGGTCTTTTCAATTGCAGTTGTTGCTTTGTGATTTGTGCGATGAAGCATGGCATACGTGGTGCCTGCATCCGATGCTGTGGTTCGTGCCCGACGATGATTGGTTCTGTCCGAATTGCCACCAGGCCATGTTAATCCAGAAATTCTCAGAAGTGCTCATTACACTTGCTGAACAACTGAAACGAAAAGCTGTCGAAGACAAAAAGTACCTTTTTTTCCTGTTAGATCCAGGTATCTTGGACTTGATTTAAACGTTCAGCCCCATTTTGATGATCCGTTTTCACACCATTATCCCCTGTTTGTGTTTGGCGAAGCAGTGATGGGAAATTTTTTTACACTGTTAAATCCTACTGGGTCTAATTTCGCGTACGTTTGAGTGCGGCACCCGCGGATAACCTGTTTTCGATATATCCCGCGCAAAAAAAACCTGTTGAGCGTGGTGAAAGCATTGGAATCACGAGAGTTTACTTGGTTGATCCACTGATGAATAGTGAAACTGTTGGGTTTTTCTTTTTTTTTTTTTTTTTTTTTTTTT